CGCGTGCATTTCTGATAAAAATAACAATAATTAATAACAAGAATTCTGAATTTTCATTATAATATAAACATATGTTATTAATGCACGTTGAAAAAAATGTGAAAATTTTGAAATTAATAAAAGTTCAAATATTTACACTTACATTTTACTGAAAAGTATTGTATAAAAATTTGGGGAACTATAAATGAAAAATATACATCATGTAAAAAGTTACGCAGTTATTATAACTATCCAACCTTGTGATTAATTATCACGACCAGCAGATTGCACCTTGGGAAGATTGGCTCGTTTTCATAGTGAATGCAAAGATAAGATTATTGTTGTATAATGGTTATCAACCGCAGAGGAAGTTTACAAATGAAAGTAAACATTTAAGATTCGTGACTTGGTGAATGCAAATTTCCATATGGAATTCAGTTCGAATCAATTATAAAAGTTGTTTAAAATTTTCATTGATTATTCTTTTGATTGTATTTAAATTTAATTAATTACTATTTCCGATCTTATTATAATTTAATTAAATATATTCTGTATATTAATTAAATCTATTCTTCTAATAACAAAAATTTGTTATACAAACGTATATCTTGTTTGCCGCATGAATATTATGTAACAATTTGTTTATATAAGAGTGCATTTATATTCGTCTGTAGATTTGTCATACAATTTTTTTTGATATTTGTTAAAATTTTTATATAAAATGTAACAAAATTATAAAGAAATTACTTGTAATAGTAAATAATTTTACTTTTCAATGATACCATAAGAAATCATTTATTGAAGTATAAATGCAAATTAAAAAATAAAAATGAAAATATATTTTTCGAATCGATTCATATTCATCAGGATATGAACTATTGAATCAATAGATCATATCATAAATTCAATTTTCAATATTCAATTTGTTTTCAAAATTCAAACTCGATAAAATAATATATTTAATAAGAAGTTTTTTTTTGTCAACGTTCTAAAATATTGATTGAATAAAAAAAAAATGTTTTAAATAAAAGACTATTAAGACATTCATAAAGTTTGTTTTTCCATGAGTAAATATGTTCTTTTGCGAGCATACATTTCCTGTAAATACTAAGTTGTTCATAATAAACGCAACTCCCCATTTAAGCCGTCGTAATATGAGTTTTTATGATTACGGTTATTTGTGATCCTACTTAACTCCACTTTACATGCCAATATAAACATTATACTTTCATTCGCATACGCGCGAAAAAGATATTCAAATGATAGTAAAATCTCGAAAATTCTTTCTTACCTATATTATATTTTATATTATAAATGCATACATAAAATATATACATCTATAAAAAACTATAAATATGTAATATAAAGTATCGTAAAAAAAGATTAAAAAACTAAAAAATATCATAAAAAAAGATACTTATATACTTATATACTTTGAATGTTTAGTTCGAAGTAAAATATTGTGCAATCAGGAGCATTGGTACCGTGTGAGGATGCTATATAGTCTTTACTAGATTCGTGACAATGTTGCCAATGTTCTGTTTTGCTATATTTAAGATTCCCCTACTACACCAGATGTTCTCCGTGACACTAATCATGCAGTATTACGGGTGCATCCTCAGGTGTCATGAGTTCATGCCAATCAAGAAATTCTCGAAACGAATCCATTATATTGTGGCAAATCACAAGAACGACACACTTTTCATTTTATTCATTACCATCACCATAGTCATCTTCACCATAGTCACGAATATTGTCCGAATGATCTTTGCTGCACCTCTTTCGATCCGTATCGCTTGAATGCGATAAACGATATTCGACTTTACAGCCAACTTCATATTCATAAAAACGAATTGTGCGACAATTATTCGAATCAAATTTGAAAAATTATAAAAAATCATTTTTGCGATTTTAATCAATAATATTTGGAATTTTGTTCGCAAATATATATAATAAGGAAGAGATAATAAGAATTCAGATAGAAAAATATTCTCAGAAAAAGATAATGTAGTTTTGTAGCGTTTAACATATTCTTCTCTCGATTCTTGTCGTAATAATGCAACATGTTCGTAATAAAACTCAACTCAGTAGTCGCACGACCTTGACTGTTTGCGAACTCGATTTTCGCAGTATTCTTCGATAGATATTACAGTTAATAATTTTATCATCTATTTTATAACATTACTTTAAATTTCAATGATAAAAGAATTAGTCAATAATCTTTTAAGCTCTTTCGAATTTTGACAAATATTCAACTATTCAAAATATATCTCCAAAAAAAAAAAAATACAAAACATTACTTCAATAAATAAACGTCGTTAAATTTGTAATGTAAATTGTATCTCTAATTTTAAAATACTTGACAATTTAATGAAAAAACTTAATAAAATTTCTCTCATAGCTTCAGTACATCTTATTGCACTTTCCGAACTACATTATACATATATACTATTAAGAATAGCCATGTACTCGATCTACAAAGAGCTTTATTACATGCAGAGAAGACGGTTGTTTTAGGTGCGTGTACGGGTCCTACCTTTTCTATGCAAACGACAACACAATGTCCCGGTACGCCCCACACCGTCCTTCTCCGTCGGCTGCCGGCGCACGACTGTGGATAATTCGCGGTTGCGATCGGCCTAGATATATACGAGTTATATTTAGCAACTGTCGTCATAGGGAATGTACGCGATTGGCCACCAGTGGCGTGACTAACACATGTGATTGGTTGATCTCGCAAATACGTTGCGATCGCTTGATGCAGGCCTGGCTTACGGCTGGGCGCGACTTGCGGGTACGACATTTGTTGACATGAAACTGTCAGAGAATACGCACTGCTTTAATGTACCGGTATATTCAAGCCGCGTGTTGCGATTCTATCGTGTATTTAAATATATTAATTTTTTTATCCATTTTTCTCAATACTTTCATCATTGTTTACTTATTATAATAATATTAATTGCTTTCTTCTTTAAATGCTTTTTTATTATTTCAAATGATATATTACATTGAATATGATTGTGTGATTTTCGATTTACGATACAAAAATAGCGATTTTAAATTATTTGATTGTTAAATAAATATATCAACATTGAAGTGATTGAACCCAAGATCCAGTTTAGTAACTGGAACAAGGTTCGTTCGTATTCTTTGAGATACAGGTGAATAATCATTCGCAACTGGGCTATGTGGGTGGGTGGAATTTATGAAGAATAAGAGCGATGGTAATGGATGATTATTAACGCACCGCGCACTATTAATTTGCACGAAGCTTTCGAAAAGCCTTGAAGTCGGCTGGCGTGCCTCTCTTTACCTCTATGAAATCATAGATTTCCCGGCAGTGTTATTATGCGAAAATTACGCTCTAAAATTAGTCACAGTCCATTACCGTATGCGTACACAGATAAAGGAATGAGGTTGGGCACGGCAAGAAAAAATTGCTTGAAACTTTGACTTTTTCGATATGTATCTGGCTATTAATGTTCACACTATAATGATGATGTTATGCTAAACGAATAGAATAATCGTAATGCAAAATGCGCTGTCCGCATGTTCACTCATCGATTGTTCCTATACGATATTTAGTCACATACCGCATTATAGATATATCTTTGAACACTTACTTGTAGGTTAGACAAGACGCTGTATGTTGTAGGAACATCATTTTTAAGAGTTATCAAGATAAAGTTACAATTAAATGATTAAAAATCAGAAAATTTGATACTTTTGATTGTCACTATTATGAACCAGATGAAAATGAAAAATTCTTATTTAAATATTATCTAAAATATTTAATTGTATCTGGAATAAGAATTTGCGTTAAAATCTACTTTTAAATTGCATAGTTTTGACTGGTGATCCACAGCAGCGATATCTATTGATACATGTGTGAATTAACAAACATGGCGACGTCCATGGTTTTAAGTAATGTTTAAAGATAATTTTAAATATTATAAAAGTCGAAATCCTTGTCCTAATTTAAAAAATGTGATCGATTTAAATAATCCTGATTACGATAAAGTATGTAATAAATTTAAAAAATCATATATTTCATGTTTATAAATATGTTCATATTTTTTAGGTTATTAGTTTTAGAGAAAAATTGTTTGATATACAATGTGAACATGAATTGGGATTAAAATCAATAAAACATTGGAAAGTTTTTGAATTTTTAGATATTCCAGGACTTATTTTTATAAAAAATCCATTTACTGTATATGGACAACGATATTGGATTACAAAATGTTTAAAAGAATATTCAAAAAAACCACATAAATTAAATTTACATGCTCATGACGTTTTAAATGATGATGAAAATTGGTGGGATATATGTTTTAAGTAAGATTGCACTGTAATATTATAAAAAAATTATATTTGTAATATATATTTATTACAAATATATATTTATAATTAATATTTGTAATATATATTTATTATATTCATTGTAGGAATTTTGATAAAGGTGAAATTAATACCAAATTAATATCAAAATTAAGATGGGCAACATTTGGGTATCATCACAACTGGGATACAAAATTATATTCTGAAACATGCAAGACAAAAATACCTATTGAATTATCATTATTAACATCATTTTTAGCACAAACATTAGGTTTTAAAGATTTTAAAGCTGAAGCAGCTATCATTAATTATTATAGAATGAATTCAACTTTGGCAGGTCATACTGACCATTCTGAACCTAATGTAGAAGCTCCCTTATTTTCTATAAGTTTTGGTCAAACTGCAATATTTTTAATTGGAGGACTTATGCAAGAGGATACAAGTAATGCTATATTTTTACGGAGTGGAGATATAATAATAATGTCTGGAATGTCCCGTTTAAGATATCATGGTATACCAAAAATATTATTAACCATTGATGAACCATGGAATAATGAAGAATTAAATGATAATCAGTGCAATAGATTAAATCAAAATGATTGGAATAAAGCAAAAATTTATATTTCTGATGCTAGAATAAATATAAATGTAAGACAAGTATTAAAAGTTGGACAATTCTCTTTGTTATAAAATACAAAATTATTTTGTATATTTTTTATTAAAAATACTTATATCAATTACATTAAAATACTTATTTTTTTCTTGTTATCTAAGCTGTCAATTCACATCAGCTGATAGAAGCTGTACTATAAAAATATATTGTTCCTATTATTTAAATACTATTATTTGAAATATCTTCTATATTATGGTTTTCTAGATTATTCTGAAACATATTCAAAATATTTAGAAAGTCCCAAGCAATTGTTGTCATTTTTAATAAAAAATCTTGTGTATGTGATATCCATTTGACTTTAATATTATTGATTGTTTCATGATTATCACAATTATTTGGAGTTGAACAAGAGTCTGTTAATACTATTGGCATGTATGGTTTTAGTAAGATATTTGTAGCATCACGAACTGCTTTATTTAGGATAAAATCTTTCGAGATATCAGATGCGTAAATCATTTTTTCCATATTAATATAATAATTTACCGAAAGAAATACATAGATCAGCCTGTAATAAGAATTAATTATTTAGGATTAATTTTTCGTTAGTATGTAAAAATATAAAATAAAAAAAAAAAAAAATAGAAAAGTACAAACCTATATCTAAAAAAGATTAATGTTCATTCTTATAAGGATATCTTTGTAGGCTTTTCTAATTATTCCAGATTCCTAGCAACTTCTACGTGTGCTATGCGGATTGACAGCATTCACGTTTATCCTGAATATGTTATTTAATTCATTGTCGCTAATGAAAAAATAACGTTTTTCTTTTATTAATCGTTATATGAAACAATTTTTTATTTCTTCAAATAAAATTTTACATTTTTGAACCATTGAATAATTTTGGTTTTTATTATTTTCATTCTTTATTTACGTAAACGTTAATTTAATTTTATAAATTTTTATTATGCTAGCTACGAAATTTATTTATTGATGTTAATCTTGCTACATTTTCATTCTGTTCAATTGTTTTATATACTCTGTGTATTGTATTAAAAAAATTTGATTACATTTTTTATTATTTGTTATTTTTAAAATTGCGCGCTAGTTTTATGTGACTATACACATTTATATACTATATGTATATTTCTGACATTTCCGGTCTTACGAGTCAGCTGATCAATTTCATTCCTGTCTACTTGATAGTTCTTACAATTATGTCTGGAAAAGAAAAACTTGCAATTTTCCCTTCCCGGGGGTAAGTTATTCTTTAAATTATAAAAGCCTATTTTATTTTTTACTGAATTTTATTTTTAATTTATTTAATTCTCTTTTATTCTTAATAGATTGTAGAACTATTATTATTATCATTAAATGGGTGTAACCCTACTTTTAATATGTTCAAACTATTTAAATTATTTTTTAATATATATTATTTATAACTATGAATATATGATTAGTTTATTATTTATAATTTTAATTATAATTTGTATTGTACAAGATCATTAAGTTTACACATCATTTAATTTTTCTATTATATTAATTAGTGATATATAATGCAAGATTTATAATTTAATTTTTTTTTTCAGAGCACAAATGTTAATGAAATCCCGTTTACATGGGGCACAAAAGGGTCATGGTTTGTTAAAAAAGAAAGCAGATGCATTGCAAATGCGTTTTAGATTAATTTTGGGTAAAATTATTGAGGTACAATAAAAATTATACATAGTATATAACATTTATAATAATATACAAAAATATATAAAAAATATTTGTATTTATATAAGTAATTATTTTTTTTTCTATAATAATTTTTTTTTTGTATTCAGACAAAAACTCTTATGGGAGAAGTGATGAAGGAAGCAGCTTTCTCATTAGCTGAAGCCAAATTTGCAACTGGAGATTTTAATCAAGTAGTTCTTCAGAATGTGACAAAAGCACAGATTAAAATTAGATCTAAGAAAGATAATGTTGCTGGTGTTAATCTTCCAGTATTTGAATCTTATCAAGATGGTACAGATACATATGAATTAGCAGGTTTAGCAAGAGGTGGACAACAATTGGCAAAATTGAAAAAAAATTATCAAAGAGCAATCAAATTATTAGTGGAATTAGCTTCTTTACAAACAAGTTTTGTAACTTTGGATGAAGTTATTAAAATTACAAATCGTCGTGTAAATGCTATTGAACATGTTATCATTCCAAGAATTGAGAAAACACTTGCTTATATAATTTCTGAGTTGGATGAATTAGAAAGAGAAGAATTCTATCGATTAAAGAAAATTCAAGATAAGAAAAAACAAGCAAAAGCAAAGGTAAGTTTTACATTCTAAAGACGATTTTTTATCTTTTAGTTAAATTTTTCATATATTTAATTTATTTTACAGCTTGAGGCAGCTAGAGCAGAGATGATAGCTTCCGGTAAAGACGTAGAAGCTGCAAATATGCTTGATGAAGGAGATGATGACATTTTATTTTAAACATTGTACACAATTTATTTTCACAATCTATAGTATTAAAAAATTGTTTTAATTTTGAATGAATGTGTTAATGAATGAATCCAGTGAAATATGAGAATACATTTAGTACTTTCACAAAAATCTTAAAACAATATTAATTTTATATTTCAGTTATAATGTATAAAAAATTATTATTAAAATTTGAAACTTCTGCATAAATAGATGATAAGAAGTAAATGATTTTATGAATTATTAACATTTTTTATACAGTATGATACAATATGATATATTATAATATAAATATGATATAATATGTTATATTGAAATTTATCACTATATCATAAAAAATGTTAATAATACTTTTTATCAACTATATGCCACTGATATTTGTTGAAATTGTATTTAATGCATTCAACATGTTCATATTGTTATATTACATGTTATATTAATAAGATTATAACTTAATATAAACAATTTGCGACGATAGCAATGTTATAAGAAATTATAAAACCAATTTATTTAGTAAAAATTTATGAAAAATAAATATGTACATATATATATTTATTTCCGTTTAAATTCTTTATCTATCATCATTCTATCTCTCCTATAATAATTAGAAAATATCTATTCATCTTACAGAATTTCATAAAAAATTATATTTTTAATTATTTTATTAATAACGGGAATAAAAATTAAATGTTTATTAAATTTCTTATTTTTTATACTTATAACTATAGACATCTTAAAGATAACTTGCGATATTATTAGCGCGATTTTCCTGAAATAATTAAAAAGAATGTCATTATAGATAATCATTATAGATAGTAAATTTCTTGAACTAGGTCAATCAATATATGAACCTTTTCCCATATGAGTCAACTCTCCCTACTAAAGATAGTGCGCGTGTGGAAAATCCTTTCAGTGCGCGGAAAATTCGTGCCACCCCAAAGATGTCGTCTGATCATTTAACAGTCGTGGATGTTCCAGAAAATCGCTTTGATGATGCGATCCATCATTTAAAGTGGAATTTCTTTTCTGACGAGCCTTTGAATCATGCAGTAGGGCTATGTGAAAAAGGAGAAAGCCAATTCGAATTGGAAAGACATTGTTTGCTTACTTTAAAGCAGGGATACTCAAGGATGCTGGTGAATCAAAATGGAATGGTAAGCTGAATTAAAGAAAACGAATTTTTTCTATCTTTTTCTTTTACAATAAAGAAACAATTATATACTTTTGGTCAACTGGATTTATTTTATACGTTATAAATATCTCATCGATGAAGCAATGTTTTTCTATGATATATATAGACCTATGAACGTTTAGTTCATTGTCGATCATAAGTACTGTCCTATCAGATAGCTGGTATGGCTTTGAATGGTATCTTGAAGAAGGGAGAACGAGAAGAAGCTGAACGTCGTCTCGCAGAATTAAATGATAAAAAATTTAAAATAATCTTCGGGCTCCTCTACAAAGTTAACGAGAAAATTGATCTTTTTTCTAAGTACAATGTAGATGAATTATTCGAATGTCGAATACTTAGTATAGATGAGAACTTTCGTGGAAAAGGTTTGGCGAACATACTAATGGCAGACAGTATAGAAACTGCAAGAAATGCTGGCTTCAAGGTAATTCTAATCATTTATAATTGTAATAACTTTTTCAAAAAACGATACATAATTTTGTATGATAAATGTTGTTAAAGCATGCATTCAAATTCGATGGAAAATCTTTTTAGAACTACTGTAATCCTCCGTAATCCTTATTATTCCTTATCGAAAGCTTTCATTAATTTTACGGCTATCCTTCAAATTCAATTATAAGTTGCAAAAATTTATTTAATGAATATTGCTTTTTTATACATAAATGTTAAATATATAAATTATTAAATCTAATATTTTAAAATGATATAAAAAATTTATTAGAAACCAGTAAATTTATTAAAAATGAAAAAAGAAGATTTTATATATCTGCTTGTGCAGCACGATCTGGCGTGGTCGTTTGGTGAAAAGTTCACATTATATTTTTGTTTCAGCATGTTCTTCGATTAATATGCATGGGATGATTTTCGTTATCAAGATGTAAAATTACAATGCACTCATTACTTTCTCGAGAGGTATATTTGCACGCAGTGTACTTCATACCAAGTGTATGTAAATGTTTGTGTGCTTAATTTATTATGATGACACTAAAATATGATATTCAAATTGTTATATGTTCGCAGGTTTTTAAAGCTGATGCTACAGGAATGTTTTCGCAAAAAGTATGCTTGAAACATGGTTTCCAAGTTGAGGCGGAGATTCTGTATACAGATCTCGATGAATCAATCAGACCAACACCTCCTCATGAAGCTTTAAAGCTAATGGTGAAGATATTGAATTAAAAATATAGTGAGAAACGAAATTTAATGTTAATCTTGAAAAATCTTTAATAAGCAGACAAAGATATTACGAAAGAGCAGTAGTATAAACTATGTGTATCGTTGTGTGACAATAATACGTCTCTAATGTATGTTGTCTCAAAGACGCATTTATGAAGTTCTTACATCTAATTGCAAGGCGAATCGTATGCCTCTCTTAGAAAATATTAACGATTTGAGGCATAGATTATTACTCCTTGTCTGTGTTCTGAATGGTGTGCTGTTATTAAGAAAAAATAATAATATACTTATATATTATATAAAATATATATATATATATATATATTGAGTTGACAAATGCAAGAATGAAAATCCATTTAATATTTTCTTCATTGGACTTTTGTTCTGCATTCTGCTAATTCAAAACGAAACAAAGTGCTCTAATTTATGTAGTAAAAGATGTACGAACAAAATAATTATCTCTTCGTATGTGGCAAAGAAATATATCAACGATAGAATCTGAAACTGAAATAACGTGTCAAATGTTGTAATTTGACATTTGTTAACTCTCTAGTATATTTCTATAGTTCGCTGGTGGTAAACTGAAAGTATATTGTATATGTACACAATAAACAACGTTGGAAGTGTTCGATTGTGTACGCATTTTTTTACAGCTACCAATAAAGACTAACAGAACACGGAATACTTCTTGATCCGTGTCTAACAATTTTTCGAAAATAGTGATTTAGCTCATGGTTACAGGAATAACTGGATGGGTCCATATGAGTATAGAATAATGTTACAAGAATTATTTTTGTTGATGTCACATGTTACGAAAATATATCACAAGTTATTTTGTAAAAGTATCTGCTAAATAAATATTACAGTTTATAATGATTAATGTCTAATAATATATCCTTTTAAATAATTTTAAAATATATTAAATACAAATTGTAATTAAATAAGTACAACTTTATTTCGATAATAGATATATAAATATGCGATGTAACAAGCAACAAAATTTTCCATAAAAATTATATAATTTAAAAAGGAATACAGTCTTGCAATAATATTTAAATATACACATAATAAGAAGACTTAAAAGTTCACTTGAGGTCTAAAATGTTTTTGCAATTTATTTGCCTTAAATTGTAATTGTGTAGAATATTTTGCCTGAATTCTTTGCATATATTTGATATCTCTGGCTTTTTTTACAACAGCCTCTTTCTCTGTTTCTGTCCATCCTAAAGCTCTATATTGTGATAATACTTTACGTAATTTTGTACTTTTTGATATTGCAACTGCTCTATTTGGATTCAAATTTTGTTTATAATATCTTAATAAAGATCTATGGCCAATAATATTTCCAGATGGTAATATTAGCTGATAATCACTATCATCTAATTCTGGTATTTCAATTTCTGCATCTGGATCACCAGATTCTGCATCAGGATAACTAGATGAATAATCATAATATTTTGCATATTCTACAAGTGAATCTCCTTCATGCAACATTTTACAATGACCTTTGTCAATCATATGTGCTCTGGCAGCCTCAGCACTTTGAAAACATCTTCCTGTTAATTTATTATATTAATATATATATATATTTTTTTTTAATTTTCTAATAACAATAATAAATAAAATTTAAATTAACTTACCAGAATTATTACACCAAATACACATATATCCAGCAATAATTTTTTCTCCAAGATATTCAAGTAAACCTTTAATATCTATACAATATTCAGGATCTGGTATAAAGAATGAATGTGCAATTGTCATATGTTTTAAATTCTTTACTAAAGATCTACTATGATGATTGCAAAACAAACAATTATTATTTGTAACTGGATTTTCAATATCTTCAATCCACTCATCAGAATCTATAGATTCAATATCAGAATTTGTTTCTCTTAGCTGTTCCTTGGAAACTTTTTCATTTATATTTTTTTTACTAATAAAATCTTCCGAAGGACCATCATCACTGAGATCTTCATTTACAATTTCAGAAGAAATATTTTGTTTTATATATTTTTCCTTGTGTTTCTTTGATAATAAATGATTTTCATATTGATTTCTAGTGTTGAAATTCTTTCTACATATTTTACAACTCATTGTTTCTTCTTCTCTTTCTTTGTCATCTTTATTTCTTTGCGCAATTACTTTTTTTTGAAATTCTTCAGCAGATACAGGGGGTAATTCAGCTACTTTTCTCTTTAAATTATATCTATGCCAATCTGATTTGTAATGTTGTCTTTGTATTTCCAAATCTTTAAATGCTACGCGACATGTGATACAAGTAAACGGTGAAGTCATTTTTTTTAGTACGTTTCAACAAACCAAAAATTAACAAAATCTAACAATTTTATAAATCTATTTTTCTTAATCATTCAAAATTGTATAATAATTTTATAATAAACTTTTAATATAATTCATTTATCACAATATAAATTTATATAGATCATAATACAAATATTAATAATTATGAATAAGTGTATACATGTAAAAGAAAGTAAAATACATCACGTGCACAATTGCGTTTTATACTAATATTAAGGTTATGTTAATACAGATACCGATTAATATAGTATTATTGCAATTAATGAAAATATTACATAAAAATATTATAAATATATATAAATTTTTATAATATTATATAAAAGAATTTTTTTTTATAAAATATCGATAAATCATACATGTATTTGATTTTAGTAGTAATTTTATGAAAAAATAAATCTATAAAAAATTTCATTTTATAAAACGAATAAGTTTAATATTATTAATCATTTTTCAATTGCTATTAAGAAATTAAAAAATAATATCAAAATTTATCTACAAACAATTTTTTTCTATTTCCTTTAATAGGATTTTACATTGAATACTTTATATTAATATTTTATAACTTCATCATTTAAACATAGATCTTAATTTACAATTAGACGAGATTATCATACTACTATCATTTTTTTAAATTGGATTTTTATAAATAAGATTTTTTTTTAATTCTTTTTAATAATAAATTTTTATATAATTTTATATAATATGTTGACAAAATAATTTCTATGATGAACATTAGAATAAAATTTTTATTAAAATAATTAAGAAATTGAACGAGAATAAAATCATTATCAATGATATCGTGTGCGATCACGTGAAGATTAAATAAAAAACGAATGCTTATGAAAAGATAGGGGTACTTCACTTTCATATATGGGGAGTCACAAATTTTGTTTACGGCCCTGGTTTCGAGGATCATTTGCAGTTGTATTCAGGCAGTAGCAGTCTCAGAAGCCGGAACGTTTCGTGTGCACGTCGTGAGCGAAAAAGTTACGCACAGCACATAAAGTTGAGAAGAATCGGCAAACAAATAGTTATTTGACAACAGGAATACTTGTCATCAAACGAAAAAAGGAATTGAGCAAGCAAAAGTATTGACACAGTGTCACGTCTACGCGACTGACTATTTCAACGACCGACTTTCGTAGGCGACATCGTAGAAAGACGTAAAACGAGACACTGGAGTGCACCCGACAGGGCGATCCATCTGTCTCGATACACTCACGAATACCCGTTCAATTTTTACGCTAGAAGGCGGCCGTCCAGCAGGGCGATACCATTTTATATGACTTTTCTTCGACGTCAAGGTGAGTGAAACCAGAGCATGATAGCAACGGCAATGTCCTATCTGGTATCATTTCGTTGCTTCTGACGCTAATTTTAGCGACCAGCCATTTTGAACACGAGAACGTGCTCGATTCATGAGCAATTTATGTTCAACGGAAATTAACGCTTTCTTATATCTTTTTTGTTTTTATATCTTCTTTCACGAATACATGCCATACTATCTTTCTTCTTTGTCTTTTCCTAGTTGCATTATCTTTCATGTCCAATAACGTAATGTTGGATCGATATTGCTTACCGAATTATTGAACACACCGAAACGGATGGTTTCGTCGTCGAGTAAACTATGAGATTGCGATAACTTGCGTATAACGTAATATTCTGATGAATCATTTTTTAGTTTTTAATGGTTATAAAAACAAGTGAACGAAATCTAAAAAATACATCATCGAAAAATCTAAATGTAACTAAATCTAATTTTTATAATATTTAATTTTTTAAAAATAGTTAAATTAAAATTATATCTAAATTTTAAAATTTATTTCTTGTATTTTTTATTTGCACATATTATTCTTACCTAGTTTATAAAATGCAACGTCATCTACTGATTAAAAATTATAATAAATTATTCTACAAAAAAATATCTATTTTTTAAATTAACCGGTATGTTTCAAAAATGTGTTTTGACTTAAGTATTATGATAAAAATAATGTTATGTATTTTTTATGAGTTCGATTCGATTAAAAATTTTCCATTATAGTGCAATATGTTAATATTGATTCAAGTTGAACATATTGTTTGTAAAGAATTTGTAACGTTGAATATCCGTATGTTTTGTACGCTTATCACGATCGATCATGTTCATTCGATATAAAATCATAATTTTTGTGCGTTCGAATGTTCACCGATCCAGATTTGATGAAGTATATAGCGAATGATTTCTTAAAATAGATTGGAAAAGCTATATAAATTATCATAGGTTACAACATTCGTTTCTTTTTATTTTATACAAATAAGAATTATCGAAAAAAATTTTTATTTTTTTGTAAATGTAATTCATATGCTTTTTTTGTTGTAAATATCATTAATAAAATATTTCTATTTTAGAATTTTTTGAAATATTAGGTAAAAAAACATGTTAAAATTTATCATTTCGATATTATTCTTGTCTTTTTCTATTGGTTATAGATAAATTTTTTTTTCAATTCTATGTATTATTCAGATTTAAGTAATCTAAGAAGACGTTTTTATCTACAATGATGCATATTTAGATTTTTTCTATTTCATTTTTTTATAATTGAAAAATAGGTAATGGCTACAACATTTACATTATATTTATGAAAAGTATATAATACTATAAAATATAAAAAGTTTTTTTGTGTTGATTATTATGTCTATATTCGATAAAAAAATTTTATTATTTTTGGATTGAAAGAAAAAATAATTCACTATAAGATACATTCACAATTTTTTAAAAAATCTTATAACATTATTTATAAGATTATCGACATTTAAATAATTTCTGTTGAAAAATTTGTAATTATAGAAGAATAATCTCTAAAATATAAATATAATTTTTTATAGATAATTTTCATTTCTTATATATCTAAAATATACAAAATTGTATCCATGAAGAAAAAATTACTATAAAATCATTTTGTTGAATGTATTTATATTTATTTGATATCTCAATATCTCAATTATTATTTGAAATTGATATGGCGTAAAATCATAGAAAGTTAATATTTAATTTGATATTTGCTCTTTTCTAATAATATTTACATTTTGATGTCACTTTGACTTGATTTAGATTTAAATTGACCGTTTCAATTTTACTTTGTTTGGGTAAATATTTTATATTTTCTGAATTCCATTTTAAACATTGAACTTACATATTTTTAACTAATATATATAATCAATTTTTAATTTTCTTAATTGCAATTCAATGAATTATGAATTAAGTTAAATCATTTCAATAAAAACTATATGAATCATCTTTTTTTGAAAAGTATTAATTCTATTGGTTTAAAAATTTTAATTTTTATTTTTTATTATTTAATTTCATTTTATTTTTATTATAACAAATAAAAATTAATAAACATGAAATTAAAATGTTATTCTTTAGAAAGATAAATTTAGAAAAAATAACATTAGTAATATCCATTTTCTATTATATATATATATATATTATTTTGCTTCATATATATATATATATCATATATATCATTAATAGATATAAAAAAGATGTTGATGTTAATCTATAATTTTAATTAATTTTAATTTCTTTTTTTGTTTTTTTTTTTGAAAAAAAATTGAGAAAATATATTTAATCTATATTTAAAAATTTAGAAATAGAAAAAGAAGAAAGAAATAAATTCATATATTTATCGATAAAATTGAATTGTTGATTTTATGAAATTTATTCTTTCTTTATATGTGAGAAAAACGTGCGTCTTATATATCCGGTGCTATTTTGTTCCAGCGTTATATGGTATTCGATCATCAGAACACGAAACTCTTGGTTTCGAAAGAGATTCCTCGAACAGAGTCCGTTGTAATCCGACCTTTCGCTCCCTTCGTATACGTTCGCCTTATTTTTTCCATTTATCTGTGGCTTAAGATGGCCTGTTGTGACCTGTAAGCATAGCATGCATAGCTGTTCGATAGCGATGCAAAATAATACCTCTTAATCAGTTTCTCTCGGTGCTTCAATGGTTCTCAAACGATACTTCGATATCGAAGCCGATTTCCTTTTATTGTTTAAACTGAATAAAGCGAGGAAAAAGAGAATAATTTATCGTTTTTTTAACATTTTCAACATAGTAAATCTATGCCTGGCCAAGACTGTGGTGTGTCCATAATCTCATTTTCTTGTCGATTTGAGTTCAATAATCTCGTGAATCGTACAAATCCTGTTCGAGAGTCTCTGGAAAGTCGGTGTGAACGACTTCCACTCAAAGGGAAGCGGTCATCGAGGATCGACGAGTAGATAATTAGGCCGTTTATCGAACAGCTTGTCGAATGTATGTATTCCGCTTAATTTAATCAAGCGAGATGAACAATCGTCTTCTCTTGTTGGATGCTTCGAAATTTGTTATTTGAGACTATTTATATTACGGATATATTGAAATTAAGTAAAAATTTTTTCCAATTTAACTAATTTATATACAAATGTTATATTTTCAAATCTAATCATCATGAATAATTTGATCTGTATCAAGCTGTAAGATTCACTCGTCAGACAGATGTTTATTTCATTCTTTTGCATATGAAATGTTCTTACGCCGAGTGAAAGTCGGTAGTGAAAATTTTTCAGTCTCTCGAAACTACGATTAGAATCGATCTTGATCGACTTCGTTACATGCTACAACCGTTTTCGTGTGTCAAGTTCGTATAATACGATCCTCAAGATCGTCATTAATCGCTCGCAGGAATTTTCTTGCGCTTCGAATTCGCATTGTTCTTCCTTCTCGCGTTACCCACTGTAATTGATTCGATTTTATTCTATGCTATCACATCGTTTCATTTCCGTTTTCCCCTCATTCTGTTTTTTAATGCTATCTTTAAATTTTTAACTTGTGAATTCAAATTTTTCATTCTTCCTCATACTGAATTCATGAATTCTTGAATTATTTGAAATTTTTGTATTATAATTAAATATATTCGCATGTATCAGAGATACTTAAATATCCAAATAAAAAACTTGAATACCGCTCAAATTTTGACGGTAAAACATGGCATGTAACCCGAGTTACGAATATAAAATTGATACGTCTCGTACTAGAGTAAACTCGTAAAACTTGTCCTCGCCTTTCGTTTGTTTTTTTCAAGTTCTTGACCGTGACTCAGTTGGTCTGAAGTCAGTTAAAAAGAAATTGTACATAATAATGTTATTTTTAATCTCTTTATATATAAAATTTCGAAAAAGAAAAAAAAAAAAAAGAAAAGAAAGAAAAAAAATTTGTTCAACTTTTTTCTCATTTTTTCGTTATAATTTTTTAAATTTAACGTTTTCTTTTACGATTTTACCCTTTTTTTTCTTCGTTGATTTTTAATCGAGTGCATAATTAATGATGCACGAGAGATTTTTCTCGTGTAAAGGAACGATGCTTATTCCGGCATGCAAATTTTATTCCAGCAATATTGCAAAAGATTTGCATCAGATTTAAGTTTTGCGGTAATTATATACGTAATAACGATTATTATGCCGAAGCTAAAGCGGCGAAAAAACGTTTGAGAAATTTTCATAGTTTATTTTCAATTTTTAAACGAAGCGGTTTTTGCATTTAAGCC